AGCTGGTCCCAGTCCCCAGCAGGTGGATTCTGCATCGAAGAACGTTGCGACGTGCTGAGATATGGCACTCTCTTTGTAGTGTCCTTGCGCGATGTCTTACGTGAACGTAACCCCAGTCCAATTTCGGCATCATCCGCATCATACTGAACGTCTACCGGCTCGTTGTCGACGGCGATCGCCTTACTAGGCAGAGGAATGTCGTCCTCTGGAGACGTCTCTGACCGAGCGTGACCAAAATCGTCCGCGAAGGCTTCGTAGTTGTCTTCCATGAACTCCTCTTCGATCCCAGCTGCCGGAACACCCCGCTGCTTCGGCCATGTATAGTTGACTCGCTGTGTCCGACGCGATCGCTCTCGCCGAGGTGCAGAGTCTCCCCCTGAGGAGTAGTCGTGTTCGATGGTCTGTTGAACTGGTAGGGGCTTGGGCACTGCCTGCTCCTGGCGTTTCGGTGGGTGAGGTTGCGAAGCGGGCAGGGTGCTTCTTGGGCCTCTTGATGGAGCACTGTTACTACGAACGAGACTCCAGTCGACAGTCGCCTCTGCAGCCCACCGAGGGGGTAGTATTAACGTAGACGGATCTTGAGATCTGTCTCTCTTGTTCAGAAAGGTCGAATAACGAGACTGGAGTGCTGCGTATGGGCGGTTCGGCATGTCGTTGTTAAACTCTGCTGTTATCTGCGCCCATGTGAACTGCTTAACCTCTTTAAGAAAGACGAGGTAGTTGTCTTGCGCCGTATCGAATGGATTCATTGTTTTCTTTCGTCCAGTGGAGGGTGGCGGTGCAGGTACATCCGCGCCCTTAGGGAGGGTAGATGAGTGGAATGCAGCGACTGCTGGTCCGAGACCATGATGGACATTTCCGCTCTTCGCCTTATCCGATGGCTGTTGCGGCACAGAGTCTGCTGAAGACGAGACATCGGACATGACGCTATCTCCATCTTCATCTGGAATCTGCTCCTTCGCAGGACCCGCAAAGTAGTTCGGCCTTGGTGGGGCGTTGCCTGCACCTGGCGAAGGGCGGCTGCGCGGTCTTCCTGGGCCTCTAGTTGGCATGCCCGCACTCGCTCCATTGTATGCAGTCGCTTCACGGGATTGTTGTTGTCGAATGGCCGGTGCCTGTGACGTTCGCGGTGTCTCTCGTGTCGGTGGTGCCGCACTGACTGGACCTGAGCTGCTACCCGGCCGGCGACCAATGTGAAGCGCGCGCGGACTGGAGGTCCTGACACCGTTGAGCATAGGCGCAGCATTCGTCTTTAGCGCTTTGTTGATATCCTGAACGGATGGAGCTTTGTGGGCATTGGTAGCGCTGGGCTTCGGTGTGGCACTTGGAGGAGGTACTGCCGCACGGGATTCCGCTGCCCAGGCGTTGAGCTTGTACTTGCCCAGTGTCGCGGCTTGCGCTGCTGGCGGTATCCCTCTGCTTGGAGTCGGCTTCTTTGCAGGTGGTGTTGACGATCTGGAGGCGCCGTCGGATGTCTTGATTCTTTTTGCTGCCCGCGAGTCGCTTGTCCCGTTGCCCGACTGGCCTGGAACCGGCACGTAAGTGTTGGGCGCCAGACCAAGGCGTCCCATACTCGCCGAATTCGTCGCTTTCGGCATGGTGCCGGGTAGCGGAGGGTATGGGTTTATGTATGCAGGTGCGGGTCGCGTCGTGGGAGCAGGTGGTCGCGATGAGGGTGGTTGAGGCAAGGGCGCGCTCATGGAGGTGAGTGAGTGAGTCGGTGTGGCAGTCGCCAAGGGCAACGAAGACAGCGGGCCCTCGTCGCTTTCCGCATCGTCGTCATCGTAGGTGAGGTCGACTATGGAATGTCGCCAGTCGCTGCACATGTTAGTCGACTCCTTTACTCTATCGCACCGCATGTGCAACTATGAGAGATTTCACGATATGACAAGAGGATATCACTACTAAGAGAAGCACTCACCTCATTTCCATCAGTCTCAGCGGCAGGCAACACGTCCATGGGAGAGATGGTGCTTGTCGCGTTGAATGCTTTGCGACCAACCGTGGATCGCGTAACCGCGTACCCCCGCTAGCCGTGGCTTAGCGTCCTGTGGCGTCACCCCTTCACCTGAGAGCGGAAATCTACCGTTTTTCTAATCGCGACATCGAGGAATTTACTCGACACAGCAGCTCAGATTGCAAGTTGTTGTGTGCGCTCTAGATTATAGAAAGTATAATACCAAACAGTCTCAAAGTACATAAACCTTCATCACATCTCCCACTCAATACACCTTATCGTGCTCTACGCCCTTATCCATATCGCCCTTGCCCTCAATATCCTGCCGACTATCCTGCACTGCCAACCCCGCAACAACAGTCTCCTCCCCAGGCTCAGCATCCGTCGGCACAGGCGGGCCCGAAAACTCCTTCCTCCCACTGATAAAGTACCACGCCACACTAATCGCCGCAAAGCCCGCAAAGACCACACTCGCATAGTTCATGGTAGCAGGCTCGACAGGCAGACTAACCGGCATACAGAAGAGCACGACAGCAAGGCAGATCCACGCAATCATAGCGACGTTGATGGCGTAGCCGAAGCGGCCGAGCGAGAAGGACGAGTGCTTGACTGCTCTGCGGCCGCGCAGCACGGAAATGAGGATGGGCATGCCGTAGGAGGTGGAGAGGCAGATGGTAGCGACGCCGGTGAAGGAGTTGAATGCGGCTGAGGAGCCGAAGTAGATGAGGCCGAGGAGGCAGTCGACAACTGTAGAGAGGACGAGCGCCATGAGCGGGATATCGAAGCGTTTGTCTACCTTGGCCCAGAGTCGCGAGCCGGGTATAGCGCCGTCGCGAGCAAACGCATAGGTGCAGCGTGATGCAGCGGTTAGAGCGCCTGTGCCAGCGAAGAAAAGGATGCCGAGGATGAGGAAGAGGAGGCCGAATCCGCCGCCTGCACTGCCGGTTACGGTCTTGAAGAGCAGGCCAATGGGTTGGCCGTTTGCGACGTCGAGGAGGAGTTGTACGTCTGGGAGAACGAAGAGGATGGGAATCAGGTAGATGACTCCTGTGACACCGGCTGCTGCGACGGAGAGAACAATGGCTTTGGGGACTTCGCGGGAGGGGTTCGAGACTTCTTCGCACATGGCGGCGACCATGCCGTAGCCTGTCAGCGTGTACGCAGCTTGCAGGAGACCGACGAAGAAAGCCCACCCTGATGGCCTAGCAGTAATGTTAGTCCAACCGTCTCATATTCCATGTCAAGACAACATACCATCCACTTTGACTAGCATCATAATGCGCAAACACAAACTCCGCATCCCTCTTCGTATCCGCCATAGTCAACAGCACAACCATGATAACCACCACACTCGTCGCTGTCCAATAAATACAAATCTTATTGATCAGATCGAGATGCTTCGCCCCGAAGATATTAATCGCCATGCAAATCAGCATGACCGCCCAAAACGCAAGAACAGTCTGCCATTCGTTCGGCACAAAGTCCTCGTTCCAAAGCGTAATAGCCGATAAGATGAGCTGACCGCCGGAGAAGTTGATCGAAAGCGTAACCGTCCAATTTCCAACCAAGGTCAACCAGCCCGTTACCCAAGAAGCGATGGGCGCCCATTCGCGCGTGGAGAGCATGGCGGACCAGTAGTACACACCGCCGGCTGTGGGGTAAACAGCGCAGATCTCAGCGAGGGACGCGGCGATGGCGAGCGAGATGAGGGAGACGAGGATCCAGCCGTAGAGCACAGTCACCGATTGCCCGTCCGTAAGCGTAATGTAGAGTGTTGTCGAGAGACCGAATGGAACGGCCATGATGGCAAACGACATGCCGAGGACGCTCAGCATGCTCAGATTCCGTGGGAGTTCAGATTGGTAGCCCATTTTCGCCAGGGCAGCGTCGGCGCCCGGGTCGTTGATCGAAGCCCGTCTTCGTGTGGCATCTTGTCCTCCTCCTGCTCCGCCTTCGGTGACGGAAACGCTCTTCGCCATGATTGCCTCGTTGTCCAGGTATCCCACGCGATCAATTCAGAAAACCAACTCTTACTGCGCGTCGAATCCGTGCGCTGCGATGGGAAATGCGACGACCTAGAAACACCGTATCGTGATGTCGCAACCTCGGAAACCGTCCAGTATAAGAACAAAACAACACCGCGATAACAGCGTCGGCTGCAGGGCTATAGCATCAGTCAACAGGATAAGGAACACGAAACCCCAAGATAAAAAAGATGACCACGCGAGCGCCGCCGAAATCCCCGCAGCTGGCTCAAGCCCACCAAAGGGCTAGACTGACTAATACTAATCCTAGCGGTCTTGGGAGCTGGGAGAGCTGCGAATGCGACGCTGCAATCGTTCGCTCCACAGCACGAGTCGGAGTCGGGGAGATAGGCGTCGACAGGGCTGGCTAGCTGTGCTGATACGGCACCGAGAAACTACCCACCCAACAACATACATACACCATACATCAAGTAAGCGACAACGATAAGAACAAGACTCGAGTCCACTGCACGATAGCCATGCGCGCAGCGCGTGTAACCATCGCCAGACCCTGGCGATACCGACCACGCGAAAGCGCATGTCACCGATCAACTAGCCGGACAATGCGTCATCTCCGTAATCGGGTGTGTTTGCCGTTCTTGTGGGGTCGACCACCGCCAGCCCAATCGGCCCCCAGTGGGCCACATGGTCAACGCCCAGCCAGCAACAGCTCCGAGCAAAAGGCCGTTCTTCGTATCTTTTGTGGAGGGAGGAAAGTGGACTGGCTGGGGCCGCCCCCCGGGGTGGGACACACGACACGTTTATCACGATTGCGATACTGAAGCCATGATGCGCATGATAGGATAGAGTATGATAATATAATAGTACAATTGTGTTTCGAAACCCGAGACATGGGCTCGGGATGCGAGACTAATGCATTTACTCCTTCTAATGCAGGAACACCTGTATGCCGCGCCCGAATCCTTCATGACAACCATGCTGTTCATCCCTGACATGTGCGTCCTGATAACGGTCATCTATCTCCGTTTTCCATATCTTGATCGTTTCCCGTAACGTTTTTACTTGGCCATGACATCGACATAGCGTCCACCCTTCTTCTTCTTACCCGCCGGGCCCTTCCTCGCCTGAGGTGCGCCGAGCAAATCGTCAATACTACTAGCATTGCTCATACCAGTGCCCGGCCGTGATGGCGGTCCGGATGCAGCACCGAAGCTGGGTCTAGCCAGCGTAGGTGGCTTGGGTCCAGCGAAACCCTCTTCGTCGGATTCTGGGATGCCGGGTGTAGATGCGCGGGAGCCTGCTACACCCATTGGCGGCGGCAGCGACGACGAGCGGGGGTTGGAGGTAGGTGGACGCAGTGCACCTGCGCCGGGAGGACCCATAGGCGGTGTGGGTGCGGCGCTACCTGAGGCACTTCGAGCTCCGCCGCCGGGAGGTCCAGCACGTGGAGGAGGTGGTGTTGCAGCGGGCTTACCCGTGTCTGCCGCGCCGCCCTTCTTGTTTACCCACTTGCCAAGATCTGTGTCGTAGTAGAAACTGCTCTCTTCTCCCAGCTTGGCCTTGATGGGACCGGGACCGGCGTTGGGATCTTTCTTAAACCACCCAGACAACCATCCTCCCTTCTTTGCTGCTGCGGCTTCCTTGTCGCGTTGAGCGTCTGCTTCGGCGGCTTTGCGGAATGCCTCATCTGCCTTTTTGTCTGCGTCTGATTTGGAGCTGCTGCCTCCACTAATCTTCAAGGCCGAGGCGCGGGCAGCGAGGTCGTCATCGTCGTCAAGATCCATGAAAGACTTCTTCTTTGATATCTGCTTGTCTTCTTCCTTGTCATCCTCATCCGGATTGTACGGCTGGTACGCAGGAGGCTCAAAGGTGGATGACGAAGGTCCATATCGATCGTAGGTGAGCTCGTTTGCTGTCGGCTCATCTGAGTTCGCTTGAGGCTGATAGCCACCAAATGCAGGGGCCAGGGAAGGCTCTCCGACAGGTGGTGTGGGCATATAAGGACTACCGAAGGATGGCTGAGCTGGGCTGTACTCCGGACGAAGGGGTGAGTACGACTGTGCCTTGGCTGCCGTGCGTGCACTCGGTGGGCTCAGTTGATTTTGAGTTGGGCTGTACACGTTTGACGTGGGTGTCATAGGCATGTAGGTGTCAGATGCTGCGCGCACGCCGAAGCTGTCGTTCGATTCCATCGATGGCCGACCTTGAGGCTCATAACGAGATCGTTGCTGCTCCGAAGACGACCTTGGCGCGTACGCGTTCGATGGTGCATACCTTGAGTTGCCGGGGACAGATGGTTGCGTTGGAGCGCCATAGCCGGACATCGCACCATAGAGATCCGTGCTCGATTGTGAGGGCGTGAGGGATGGGCTATTACCAGCGATCTTAGCGAAAGGTCCGTCCGGCCCACCAGACTTGTTGGCTGTGTTGTCCTCGTCGTCTCCTGCAATGAAGCTGTTGAACTTGGATAGAAGCGAGCTTCCAACCTTGTCCATGCTAGGCTTCGAGATCCACGATGACGATCCATCCTTCGGAGACTGCGACAGTCGCTTGCTCAGATCGTCAAGACTGGCGATGAAAGCAGCGTTGTAATATAGCGAGACTTGAGTTGTAGCCTTCATTGCCGCTGCAATGGCGTCGCAATATGCCTGGGCGTCGGTCCGGTACCCATTCTCAGCGAGTTGATACGCATGTGCAAGTTTGTAGTTTTGCAGATGAGGAATGACATACGAGCCGCTCGGAGATGACAGCGATAGCGCGAATTCGTATACCTCGGTCAGCAATATTGGCTCCATCTCGACACCCATTTCCAGAGGGTTGAGACGATGGTCAGCGCTGATCAGAACAAGATCAGCCTGCGGGTCATCGACTCCACTGACTTTCAGAACTGAACGCGCGATGATGAAGCATACATGTGCAGCTTCAATGCGACCGTATTGAGCCAGAAGCCTTCCAAGCGAGAGTAGCGCTGATGCGTCACCTTCGCTACGGTTATTCAGAATCAGCGCAACTGTCTCGCGCCACTTGTCTAGACCCTGGAGTGCGTTCTGGGTTGCGCCAACACCATCAGCGCTCACCATCTGGAATCCGGCACGAGCCGAAGCAGGTACCAGTTCGTCAATACAGTCCTCGTGGTTACCAGCAAAGACTTCGTACAATACAGCCAGCGCCTGGTTGTTGCGTCCAGCCTTCTTTACTTCTTTTCGAACGAATTCTTGGACAACCTGCTTCCATATGTCCTTGCTGAGAGTAGAAGACAGCAGCATCGCATGGCCCCATAAGCGCTGGTCAACAGCATGCCAGACAGCTTTCTCGCGATCACCCTTGACAAGCATGCCCTGTAGATCTTCAACAGCACGGGGATCGATGGGCTCTGCCTGGAGGTTGGAGGTGTTGGATCTTGAACGTCCAACAATGTCCGCTGCCGTCGAATATGAACCGGCTTCGTCAGATGTCTCGTCACCTGGAGGTAGTAGCAGCTTCTTGACAGCGGCTTCTGCAGGAGTACCCTCCAATTTGCCATCATTATCGACCAATGCTTGCATGAGTTTCCAAAGGAGGATGCGATCATCCACGCGCTTCAACTCGTCTTCGCTCATAGTGTGTTCGAGTCCTGGCTCTTTAGACTGGTTCTCAAGTGCTTCGATTTTACGGCCAAGCCATGCTGACACATCCTTCTTCTTGCCCTTGGCCTTGAGGGGACCAGGGAACTTGGCAACGTCTTCTGGCAGAGGGAGAACCTCCTTGACACTCTGGATGCGAATCTCACCAGGGCTACTCTTCATCATCGGCGCTGATCCGCCACCTCCGTAGCGAGGAATCTGCTTAGGGAAGCTCGTGACAACATTGCCTCCTAGGCCCCATGTGAACACAGGATGACCCTTCCATCTTTCGAGTGGGTCTGCCGAGCGCTCGTCTTCGGGGACAATGAAGTCGTAGTTGACTGACGCCTGTCGACGATGGGGGATGACGTTGACCGAGCTTGAAGCAGTAGGCCGGCCGCCATAGACTGAAGACGAAGGCATCATACTGTATGCAGGCTGCTTCATAGTCGCTGTTGGAGATTGTGAGTGAGAACGTTGTGGGACGGCCGGCTGGGCTGGCTGGTATCTTGGTGCATAGCCATCGGTCTTCCGTGGTGAGCCGACTACTGATGAAGGTGTACTCCGTAGCGGTGGCGTCTCTGATCGTCCAGTAGGCGGCCTCGAACTCAGAATTGGCTCCTGCTCTTCAATCTCGCTAACCTCCCCCAGTGGGCTTCTGAATGGTGGACGGGGCATCCCATCAGCCGACTGGGTGACTTGATGGTTCGGAGGATATTGTGCATGGTTTTCCGGGGCTTGCTCCTGCTGATGAGGCATGCTATGGAAGGCTAGCGGGCTGGAAGTACGGGGCGCGAAAGGCTGCGAAGGAGTCCGGGTCAAGTTGTTATGCGGCTCGGACTGATAACGAGCATGAGGCTGTCCTGGCGGAGGCGCGGGCGAGTATCGCGGGTTCGCCGCTGGTGCACTTGGGGGTGCAGGAGAGTACCGTGAATTGGCAGCTGGTCCCGACGGAGGCGGAGCAGGAGAGTATCTGTTCGTGGAAAGAGGCGCTTGCACTGGCTGAGGAACGGGAAGACTGTTTGTTCGCGCAGGTACCGATGGCTGAGTAGGGAACATGGCCAACTGTTCTGGTTGTCTGAAGGGAGGAGGAGTAGCGACTTTGGCAGCATCTGGGATGAACTCATTTCGCAAGGACGAGGTTGAAGCGGTGCGCTCCTTTGGAGGAAGTTGCGGGGGAGGATGGCTGACTGGAGGTTGAACAGCCATATTCGGTTGCGGGGTGTAGCGTCCAGACGGGCGAGGCTTGGAGGTGACGGGCAGCTCGGCGAAGAAATCACTCGATGGTGATTTCGCTGTGACAGCGGGTTTTGGAGGTGCAGCCGGTGGTGGCATACCAGTCATCTGAGAACGCATGGAGTGGCCTGATGAGGGCGGAGACAGACTGGCAACTGACATGCTCGACGACAGTGGCGGCCGTGGAGGCCCCGCGTTCGAGGACATACTGCTAGTTCGCGGGGGTGGTGGAGTTGGCTGTACAGCAGACACTGTTGTTCGAGGAGCTGGTCGCTTTCGGGTAGTTACGATGTCTTCCGGCAGATCATATGGCGAGGCATAACCTCCTTTCGACTTGTCTACGAAACTTTGCGCTGAACTCGCCATTGGTGGTCGAGGTGGTTGCTGTTGCTGTTGGAAAGCCATATTCCGTCCAAAGCCATCATAAGCTGGTGCCACCGCGGGCTGCGACTGAGGGGCATATGGGTTCGCTGCCGGGGCAAGTGCGGGTGCGACTGCAGGAGTTTGAGGAGCATATCGGCTTGCAGTTCCTGAAGGAGCGGCTTGCGTGGGTTGCTGTGCGGGTGCTGGCGCTTCATCATCGAGGAAGCCTTCGTCGTCGCTCAACTCAATGACGGGTGCTTCTTCTTGGTCAGGCAAGAAGTCGTCGTCCAGGTCAAGATCCAGATCCCACTCGTTCTTTTCGGGAGCTTTTGGTTCGGCCTGTACCACATGCGCGCCAGGACTTTGGTCTACCGCCTGCGCAGGTTCGATCTGCTGGCTCGCGCCCAAACCAAAGAAGTCTTCCTGCTCTTCGGAATTGCCCCAGTCGATGTCGGCTCCAGTGTTTCCGCCTACTGTGGTATTTCCGATAGTGTCGTCTCCGACGGTCGTCCCAACAGCCTCCGCCACGGGTGTCTCCAGAGGAGGTTCTTGTGGTTTCCCACCAAGATCAAAGGGGTCGTCTCCAGACGCGCCCCATTCATCTGCCTCCGTGTCTGCTACCAAAGGCACTTTGACACTATCCGTCATAGCATCCTCCAGGGCTGTAGTCTCTCCTTGGTGCTCGTAGTTCTCCTCGGGATGCTGTTCGGGTTCCGCCTCTTCTTCTGAACTTTCCTCTGAGCTTTCCTCCCGTTGTATCTGCGCTGCAGGTTGCGAGTCTTCGCTCTCGTCTTCGGAATCAGACTCTTCCTCCTCACTTGATTCGGCTCTTGCTGGTGTCGCTTGTGGTTCGGTAATGTTGAGTGCCTGCGTGGCACTAACTAGATCTTCATCGTCGGCACCGTCTGCTCCACCCTCCAGGGGCTCGAGAGGTTGAGGCGCTTCTGCGCTTGGTGGCGCTTGTATTGTGTCGTCGCGCGCAGTAGACTCATCGGTCTCTGCTTCTTCGGGTGCAGGCTTGACTGCCGGTACCGGTGCGAGTGGTGCAGCTACTGCAGGCCTTGAAGGAGTCTCTTCGTCCTCGCTCTCCTCTTCTGATTCTTCATCATCGTCCTCCTCATCCGCCTCCTCACTGTCATCCTCTTCCTCGTCGTCTTCCTCTGACGACTCTGGTTTGGTCTGTGCAAACTGATTCGTGGGTTTCGCGCTAGGTGGTGCACTCGCTTCCTTCTCGGTGCGCAATGCGGGATTCCATGATGCGTTCGAGGCTGTGGAGGGGGTGGGAGGCGCGCCGCCGTAGGCGTAGGAAAAGTTGGGGCCGTCTTCGTCCATTACGGGATAATTAGGTAATTCAAAGGGTATCTACAAGTACTGCACAGGCAGTCAGCACTGGAATTGGGGGTCCGTGGCCAGAAGGTTGGGCCTCGGTCGGGGTGGTGAAGCGAGGTCTGACATGCCACGGTAGACGCCTCGTGGGACAAAATATGCAAACCGAGGAGAATTATGCAGGAGAGAGGAGTTTGTGTAAACGCAGGTGCATGTGACTGAGCGTGAAAGGAAGTCGCAACGGTGACTTGAACGCGACCCGCAAGAGGCGTAATCGCCATCCCTTTCTACGTCAGAGACCGCGAACATGGCTACGTACCTCTATAGAAGCAGAAGAGCATGGGCTCTGCGTGTCGCACAACTGCGAAAGACGCGATCTTCGTCCAGGAAGGCAGCGAGAATCAAATATCGGAGGCGATCCCCGGGCGCATCGTAGGTAATCTGGCAGGAAGGGTGGGAAAGCGATCTGGCCAGCTGTTCCTGCGCCCAAGGTTGGACATTGAAACGGCCCGCCGCGGCAACCCTGTCCTCGAGCCACAGCCCTGCGCCTGCGCCACACAGCTATGAGTGACGCGACGTCGAGACACATATGGATGGACTCTACAATTCACATACCGCCATTCCCTCTGCTACACCTACTACGTCATATACCGTCGACACGGCCCAAACAGCGCTCGGCCGCCGAAACAAAACGTCGAGTCGCCCAGACAGCCCATTCAGACACCCCCGAAACGCCGCGGACCCCCGAAGGCAACCCTCGTAGCCATAACCACACCCAGCCCGTCGCACATGAGGCGGAACTAGCCAGCACCCTCTTCGCCCGCCCATGAGCCATGGCCGCTCCCCACCAGTACCACCAGCCGAATGCGCCAGACGACGACTCGGACCTAGAACTCGACCTAGAGGAGCTGGACCCTCTGGCCTCTCGCTCCCAGTCCGCCGCTACACCACCACGGCGCCAGTCCAAGGAGCAACGGCGGCCATACCATGAGCTGGGCGCGAGGATACCGCTGAGGAATCTCAGAGTCGGCAGGCTGCGCGCGAACAAGAAGAAGGAAGAGCCGGAAGAGGACGACCTAAGAGGGCTGCTGGACGACGATGAAGGGTCCAAGAGAGACTCGGCTGGCAGTTATGGCCAGTCGGGCGATGACGATTCGCCGCTCTTGCCTGAACAGCACACACCACGGAGAAGACGGCAGCCACCACCGAGCGCTCTTTCCCGCTTGGGCTCCAACATGCGCCTGCCCAGCTTCCTCTCGCGCCAGAACAACGCCCCCATACAGTTAGGTGACGACGCCGGAGAGTCGGATGCGGACGAGGAGCACGATCCCACCACCCAGCGCACCATCTCCGTCGGCCAGCTTCAGACCTCGAGATTCCCCGCGAACGCCGTGTCGAATGCCAAATACACCCCGTGGAGTTTCCTCCCACGCACCCTCTACAATGAGTTCTCCTTCTTCATCAACATGTACTTTCTGCTCGTCGCCCTATCGCAGGTCATACCCGTCCTCCGAATTGGCTACCTGTCGACATACATCGCACCACTGGCTTTCGTCTTGACGATAACGCTAAGTAAAGAGGCAATGGACGATATTGCTCGACGGCGAAGAGACGCAGAAGCAAACTCGGAGGGTTACACCGTTCTGAAGTTTGAGGAGAACAGCCTCGGGAACGGCGTCGCGCCCGGAAAGAACTCGCAGAGGAAGAAGCGCCTGAGGAAGCAGCCCAAGGACGAGGGTCGGTTGGCAGACATTGATGACGAGGAGCAGCGACTTTCGGGCAAGGGCCTGGCGACATGCACCTACTGGGAAGTTGTGAAACCCTCTCGGAGCCTCAGAGTTGGAGACGTCGTGAAACTCGGCAAAGACCAGCGAGTGCCTGCCGACATGGTGCTCCTGAAGAGCTACTCCAGCGAAAATGCAGCACCTATTGAAGATGACACCAAGGCGCAAAGTTCATCGGCTGCGCTTATTGATGGCATGGACACCAGCGACACGGCCAAGGTTGACAGTGCCACAGCTTCTGGAACCTCGGGAGAAGCCTTCATCAGAACAGATCAGTTGGACGGTGAAACCGACTGGAAGCTGCGCCTGACCTCGCCACTTACACAGAATCTGGATATTGGCGAGTACACCCGGCTCCGCGTTGTCGCTGGCAAACCGGACAAGAAGGTCAATGAGTTCTACGGAACTGTTGAACTGCCACCCAAGACGCAGCGACATTATGACCCTCATGATAACGAAGAAACGACATCCCCCACAGAGGTGCAGTCAGCACCCTTGAGCATCGACAACACCATATGGGCGAATACTGTCGTTGCATCAAGCTGCAGTCTACTCGCTGTGGTCGTATACACCGGCCCACAAACTCGTCAAGCGCTTTCTACATCGCCCTCAAGATCCAAGACTGGTCTGCTTGAATTAGAGATAAACTCTCTGACCAAGTGGCTATGTATCTTCACCCTCTCGCTCTCTTTCATCCTAGTGGCACTCGCGCGATTCCAGGTCATCGAAGGCAGGCAATGGTGGGCGTCAATGCTGAGATTCCTCATTCTGTTCTCCACTATTGTCCCAGTAGGTCTGCGTGTCAATCTTGATATGGGCAAGTCGGTCTATGCATGGTTCATACAGCATGATGAAAGCATCAAAGGCACTATCGTTCGGACTAGCACAATCCCAGAAGACCTGGGTCGCATTGAGTACCTGTTGAGCGACAAGACAGGTACTCTGACACAGAATGGTATGTTCAACCATGAAGTAATCTCGACACTACTAACAGTACGTAGAGATGGTCATGAAGAAGATTCACGTCGGCACAGTCTCCTACGCAAACGAGGCCATGGACGAGGTGTCATCATACGTTCACCAGTGCTTCACACCACCCGCCGGTGAAGCCCCATCACTTGTCACGCCTTCTTCTGCATACATCGCACCTCTCACCTCAGCCACTCGTACGCGCCGAGAGATTGGATCCCGGGTCCGCGATGTTGTGCTAGCCCTAGCCCTCTGCCATAATGTAACGCCGACAACTGAAGAAGAGAACGGGGAGACAGTGACTACATACCAAGCCTCATCTCCCGATGAGATTGCCATCGTCAGATGGACCGAGGCTGTTGGCTTGAAGCTCTTGTCTCGTGACCGCGAATCTATGACTCTCCTATCATGCGACAGCGGGAACACTGTTGTCAAAGTGCGCATTTTGAATGTCTTTCCATTCACATCAGAAGGCAAGCGCATGGGTATTGTCGTGAAGTTCTATCAGGGCCCAGTATCATCACCCTCTGATGATGGTGGCGAGATATGGTTCTATCAGAAGGGTGCCGACACTGTCATGACCTCCATTGTTGCCGCCAACGACTGGCTCGACGAAGAGACAGCCAATATGGCTCGTGAAGGTCTCCGAACACTGGTCGTCGGCCGCAAGAAGCTCTCCGCGCAGATCTACCAAGACTTCTCTACCAAGCATGCTCAGGCCTCGCTTGCCCTCAACAACCGCGATGCCGCCGTCGCCAACGTCGTAAAGGAGTATCTAGAGAACGACCTGGAACTTCTCGGTGTTACCGGTGTCGAAGACAAGCTACAAAAAGACGTCAAACCCTCCCTCGAACTCCTCCGCAACGCCGGTATCAAAATCTGGATGTTAACGGGCGACAAAGTTGAAACAGCCCGCTGTGTAGCCGTCTCGTCCAAACTTGTAGCCCGCGGCCAATACGTCCACACCATCGCCAAGCTAAAGCGCAAAGACCTCGCCTCTTCCTCCCTCGACTTCCTCCGCGGAAAACTAGATGCCTGCCTCCTCATCGACGGCGAATCCCTTGCGCTATTCCTCCAACACTTCCGCCAAGAATTCATCACCGTCGCCGTGCAACTCCCCACCGTAGTAGCTTGCCGATGCTCGCCCACCCAAAAAGCCGACGTCGCACGCCTCATCCGCGAGTTCACGAAGAAGCGCGTATGCTGCATCGGCGACGGCGGCAACGACGTCTCCATGATCCAAGCAGCAGACGTAGGCGTGGGCATCGTGGGAAAAGAAGGCCGACAAGCCTCGCTCGCAGCCGACTTCTCCATCGAACAGTTCTGCTACCTCGTCAAACTGCTGGTCTGGCACGGCCGCAACAGCTACAAGCGCTCCGCGAAACTAAGTCAATTCGTCATCCACCGCGGTCTCATCATCAGTATCTGCCAAACCGTCTTCTCCATTGCCAGCAGCTTTGAGCCCAACGCTCTGTACAAAGACTTCTTGCTCGTCGGCTACAGCACGATTTACACCATGATGCCAGTGTTCTCTCTCGTGCTCGATCGCGATGTCGACGAGAGCGTCGCGAACCTCTACCCAGAACTCTACGCTGAGCTCAAAACGGGCCGCAGTCTGAGTTACAAATCTTTCTTCATATGGGTCGCAGTTTCTGTCTACCAAGGCTCTATCATACAAGGTCTCTCTCAACTCCTCATCGGCGTGGGCACATCCACAACACCGCCTGCGGCACCTGACCCCACTTTCCTCAAGATGGTCAGCGTCAGTTTCTCCGTGCTTATCGTTAATGAGCTTGTTATGGTGGCTATGGAGGTGACGACGTGGCACTGGATCATGATTGCTAGTATCGTGGGTACGGCGGCGATTTACTTTGGTTCTGTGCCGTTTTTGACGGAGTACTTTGATCTTGAGTACGTGGGCAGTGTGGCGTTTTGGTGGAAGTTTGCGGTTATTGCGGCGATTAGTCTTGTGCCGCCTTATGCGGTTAAGTTGTTGAGGAGGACGCTTAAGCCGCCGAGTTATCGGAAGGTGCAGGGGGTGTAGGGGTACGCATAGCTGGAGTTTGGGTTGGGGTAACGAGAATATATTGTTATCCTTCGTTGTCTGCTTTTCCATGTGTTACATACATTGAGTTCCTTGGTGGTGCTGCTATCTGCTTCGTTGATCAGACACTGTATTGCTCCATTAGGTGAGGTCGACCCTTCATCCCAGTCCAAATCTGCCATGCAGTCCCGCTGCCTGACCGTTTCGCGTCCAAGGCGTGCCCATCATCTCCATCCCTTAGCCAATCTTTTGCAGAGTACCCGATCCCTTCTTCGCCCTCGGAACCCACAAGTCCTTCCTCAGTCCCCACTCGACCCTGCGAATACCGTCACTCTCGATATCCATGACGCCAGAATCTGAGACCCAAACCATAGTGTCCCGGTCATGAACGGAGTCGCCGGCGGTAGAACGGCAGGGGGGGAAGCACGACACGCGTGGTGCTTCTGAGTCCAAGAGCCTCCATGCTTTCGATATGTGCTGCCTAACTGGGGACATGACGTCATAGATGCCATAGCGGACGTAGAGATGAAGACGTTCGAGTGAGGTGAAGTTTTCGAGACGCTCGCCCTGGTAACGTACCCCGGTTGTGGTAAGCATGAGGTGCGCGAGTTTCTTGATGACGTCGTTCGGTAGTAGAGTCATCAAGACTTGTACTTTGGTAGCTTCAGGACTCGTGTAGTAAACTTTGAGTATAGCCACAGGCGCTTGCTGAGAGATGGCTCGATCTGAGAGGAGAACTACATCGTGTGAAAAGTTGATGTAAATCTTGAAGCTGGTGGTATGACCTGGCTCCTGTCTGCCGTCGAATCGTGCCTTCACCTATACATTGATGAGGATGTCAGCGCGTCAACGTCCCAAACAAGTTACTAATACTGGGCAAAACACGTACAGTGGTCCACTCTCCGCCGCCGGCTTTAGCAGCTTCACATCGTGCTTCGCGACTGACCTCGAAAAGAGTAGGGTAACGGCGAGACACAGCGACACCCACCTGAGGGCCTGCTTTGTAGTTATGTAGCTCGATAATGCGATGGCGTCCCTTCAAGTCGATGTAGTCGTCCTCGAGTGCGACGTGCCAGATACGAAAGCGCAGTTCGGCGGGAAGGTTGGAGAAGAGGTGAAAATTAGTCATCATGGCTGCGTTCAGCCTTGCGCTCGGAATTAATCGAAGAGCACTTGAAGGGTTGGAAGTGAGGAAGGCGTGGAACTCTAGGTAGATACAAACGGAAAGCCTGGGCTTGGCGCTTACAGTTGCCTGTTACAGTGAGCTATGACGTAAGCACGTTGCAAAGATATCGTTCAGGAAAGGAGACAGACGCGTATGGACGGGTCGTCCCGGCTAGCCTCAATGTGATGTTCTACAACGGGGCATTGGTAAGTGAGGAAAAAGCGAATGGGTTCCGGACATCTTACTTAATGCTATTACTACTATTGCGATTCGAGAGACAGCTGATTGATGGCGAGAAGTAGAGAACGTCGACCCGCCGACCTTCTGAGCTTACCGAATACAACACTGACCTAGATGTTACCTGGTATGTACTCGTCTGTACATCAAAACAACAGCCTGCGATTTCATTTGTGGGTTAGCTCTCAACCGCGAGGGTGCGTCTTGCTGGGTAACCGTAGCATCATTTATGTAGAAGACCTGATCAGGACCACGTGCGCTCGCTAACCAATGTCCGGAATTAAGATGTCGTCCACAGTGAGACAGCACACTGCTCAGTCGATACTTGAGCGACGGTGGAATGCTGCCGACGGTTTGGTATTGAGCAAGATCCAGGTATTCGTTGAGAACTACAGGATTGAAGTTCTTGGCTCCTTGGTGGACAATACTGAGCTTGATGCGAAGGTACTCGGGCGACCCTTCGATGTGTATAGATTCAGTGAACGGCTGTGACATGTTACAGGTACCGCAAGGGAGATTGCCCAAAGGCGTTGGCGTGAAGTGTCGATTCATGGCATCTGTGACGCTATCTCTGGTACCCGGAGGGAGAATGGCGACGTTATTGAACCCGATACCGTCAACGTTGGTGCCTATGGGTAAAGTCCGTACAGCACCGCATGCACAAGTTCGGTTCATATCGAGCTGAAGAACGAAGAGAGCTTCATAGCGAGCCCTCCATTCAGTATTAACTGCGAGTCTACGTTTGTCAGCACAAGCCGGTCTAGTATCTTTCGGGCACCTTACGTGTGATCAACAGATTCAAGACATGTCGTTAGTAATCGCGTTTGCATTTCCTCTGGATCTTGTTGCGCGTTGCCTGTACCCGCTCCAGGCGTAAACACACGCAATGCGTCGTCTACATCGTGCACCGCCTGTAGCTGTGCATGATCGAATCGCAGGGGTTTGGGGTGGCCATTAGCATTGAGATTTTGATTACCCCAATAAAATTGCGCTAGAGCCTTGACTGCGCAAGCAGGGCAGTCTTCTAGATCTTCTGGTGGTTCTTCGTCTTTCTTTTTCTCCAAAGTATCGCTTTTACCCAGCGTCAAGCCCTGTGCTAGTTGCGCTTGAATAGCGGCAACAGGACGACAAGGGAAAACAGTCGTACTACCTTGCGTACTGTTGTGTGAGATGATCCACTGAAGGAACTTTGGCAGATGCAATAGCGCTTGCAAACCGCTCAGGCGAAAACAAGTGTTACCATTTCGCCCCAAGCCTCTACTTCTCCTGTTTTGCCGCGTGATAAGCCATTCGTTCCGAATTCGTCTAGCTACAGTATTCTTGACTACTTGTCTTGGATGTGGTGCCGCTGGTGCCGCTGGTACCACTGGTGCCGGTATCGGGATACCGCGCAGATTGTAGCCAGTGTGGCGAGCTCCAGCCCTCGTGCGGTGTGCATAAGCCATGAAGCGTAAGAGAAACTTTGAGATGCGGGCGATCGTTCTTTGGTCAGTGTCGGTGATGATGTGACTTTGGAAAACAAGACACGCGACAGACTAAGGATCGTCCATGTTATACAGCTTGGTCCACAAAGGGGACAATCGTCGGAACGAATGGCTTTGTCGAACTACCTCCATATTTCCGACAACAAAGACATTGTCTGGCGGAGCAGAACGCTGAGCGTGACCCAGCCAGATTTCGCAGGCCACTTTACAGGTTTGTTGATGCGACATGGTTTTTCTCAGTAGTCACTGCTGAAGTCGCTTTTCTGAAGCGCTGCAACAATGATGCCGTAGATCCCGAGCGCCAACTACCTAGGCAGAGAGCAGACGGAGAAGCAAGACGACACGCTTTGAAGCGGCTTCACGTCTAGTCGTATGCGTTTCGACTTTGAGGTGTGCCATCGTCGAGAGAACTGCGCTTGGGACATTGGCACACCATCAACGATTTCGATGACCACTTCACGAACAAGAAATTCTTCTTTCCTACCCGCGATTATCGTGAACCTCCACATGCTTGTAATGCCTCCTTTGCTTCCATTGGATTGATGTCGGCTCTTACTCCAAGCAGCGCCTCGGCATGTAAAGTTTCGGTGAGTGCATTTTGCAAGGCTCTTGATACGATCTCGATATTCGCGCCGTCGTCCAAGTGCTGCACCCCGGAAACGTCTTCGCGTCATGTCGGCTGTGGTCGTGTTCGGCTCCAGACTCTGAAAAATCTCCTTTCAACACGTGGATTCGTGGAAATCCCCAAACCCGAGGATTCTCTTCTAGCTCGTCGACTAGAAGTCCGAGGGCGTCCGCCATCTGTACATGCCCTAATGGAAGCGTCTAGCGCTCTTCGGAGACTTGCCGTCTTAGTCGTGGTCGTGAAAGCGGCCTCGCGTTCATTGGGTCGCTGTCGGTAACAATGCGCGTCAGCAAACAGAGGGCGCGCTGACGCATATGCAGAACGGTCAGAAGACCTCAGAACGCTGTCCGGCCCGCACCTTAATTGACTTGGGCGGTACTAAAGTACCGGAATGCGGGGACGGCGGATCGTGATGGTGACGCTAAGCCGCAATCCCGAGGCACATCAGCTCGCTTACGCCGCCACCCTCATTTCGACCCTGCGACTTCCTTCATTTCCCCTGAGCCTTCCCACCCTCTAGTCTGCCCTAGAGCCAATACGCCAAACAAGTGCAGCGGCCAATACTACTGCGCCCATGGCAAAGTCGGAGGTCTAGTATTCCGCAGCTTCCTGATCGGGGCCCTTGACCGTTTTCTGTACCCCACCGATGTGTTTCAAACGTCCACGAGGCACACTGGAAGCCTCTAACTCGGTCCGAGAGATCGCCACGAGTACTATGATCGCCCAGGTACACTTCTTTCAGTGGATTCATGACGGTCCGGAGCATCACCATCGTTCTCTGTGCGGCTTCTAACCATACTTCGGCTTCTTAGTATCTTCGACTACCGCAGAGAGGCGCAGAAGTCTACCACGAGGTCGTGTAAGCCTTACTCGGGTTTAAGGCAACTTTGTGGGGTAGCCTGAGGGACATTGGGTGGCCTTGTGATACCCACGCGTGGCACGTCTATAAATCCAGCGGCCGACCTCATCGAAAACGAAAGCATCACAGCCTCGCAACTTCAAGCATCCGCTCAGAAAAGCATCGAGCTGATCAAGATGTTGTTCTCCAACCTCATCACCACTGCTCTCTTGGGCTTCACTTCCCTCGTTTCAGCGGCCGACACGAGCGCCTGGAAGTCTCGCAGCATCTACTTCGTTCTCACTGACCGTGTTGCTCGCAGCAGCAGCGACACTGGAGGCGCATCATGCAGCAACCTTGGCAACTACTGTGGCGGAACTTTCAAGGGACTTGAGTCCAAGATCGACTACATCAAGGGCCTAGGATTCGATGCCATCTGGATCACTCCGGTCGTTTCAAGTACGGTTCGCTCGTCAACATTGGACTTTATGTGTATTAACAACAATTGTAGACAAGGCTGCTGGATACCATGGCTACTGGGCTGAGGACCTGTATGCCATCAACTCAAACTACGGTACTGCTGCCGATCTGAAGAGCCTAGTTAGCACCGCTCATGCAAAGGTACGACTAAGTCAGGCAACATTGAATTTATACATCCACTAATCCGGTACAGGGCGTCTATGTCATGGTCGATGTCGTTGCCAACCACATGGGACCAGGTGCGATCACGAACAACCGCCCTTCGCCACTGAACCAAGCTTCTTCATACCATTCCGCCTGCGACATCAACTACAGCAACCAAGGTAGCGTCGAGCAGTGCCAGATTGCTGGTCTCCCTGACCTCAACACTCAATCGTCCGAGATCCGCAGCGTCATGAACACTTGGGTTTCTTGGCTCGTCAAGGAGTACAGCTTCGATGGCGTTCGCATCGATACCGTCAAGCACGTCGAGAAAGACTTCTGGCCCGGATTCTCTTCTGCGACGGGAGTTTACAGCATCGGCGAAGTGTTCGATGGCAGCCCAACTTACCTTGCCGAGTACGCCAAGCTCATGCCTGGTCTTCTGAACTACGCGGTCTACTACCCCATGAACAACTTCTACCAACAGAAGGGCTCATCTCAGGCGCTCGTAGACATGATGAACACCGTCAGCAACACCTTCCCCGACCCATCTGCTCTCGGTACCTTCTTGGACAACCACGACAACAAGCGCTGGCTCAACGTGAAGAACGATCAGACCCTGCTCAAGAACGCCCTGGCTTACGTCATCCTTGCACGAGGTATTCCCATCCTCTACTACGGTACCGAACAAGGATACGCTGGCGGTGACGACCCAGCCAACCGAGAGGACCTATGGCGAAGCGGCTTCAACACCAACGCGAACCTCTACCAGGCCATCAAGAAGTTGACTGCCGCGAGGAAGTCTGCAGGAGGTCTTGCCGCTGATGACCATGTTCACTTGTATGTAGCGGACAACGCCTACGCCTGGAGCCGTGCAGGCGGTAACCTTATCGTTCTTACTACGAATGCCGGAAGCACTTCCAACCAGCAGCATTGCTTCAACACCCAAAAGGCCAACGGAAAATGGACAAACGTCTACGGAAACGGAGCCGCGGTGACCGCCGACGGCAGCGGTAGGATCTGTGTAACCGTCAGCAATGGTGAGCCCATCGTCCTTACTGCTGGCTCCGCTACGCCCACCACTGGTACCACCCTTACCACAAAGACTGCCACTGCTACATCGACCGCATGCCCGACAGCTGTCTCGGTCTCTTTCACACACCGCATCACCACCGTTCCTGGTGACACAATCAAAATCACCGGTAACACCGCGCAGCTCGGCAACTGGACGCCAGCTAAAGGTCTCACTCTTTCGGCGAACAGCTACACATCTAGCAACCCCGTCTGGACTATTACAATCCCATTCGCGGCTGGCTCATCAATTCAGTACAAGTTCGTGAAGATCAGCAGTGGCGGAACAGTCACTTGGGAGAGTGACCCGAACAGAAGCTACACCGTACCCAAATGCCAAGCGAGCGCTAGTCTGAGCAGCTCGTGGCAGTAAGTTAAGTATACATAGTATCTCTTTCTTTCGGAGGAGAATGGAAAGGGCTAGTAAATAAGAGCCGTGGTAGTACACGGATTGCTTTCTATCATCAGCATCGTTTCATCTCCCACTTTCTACAGAGTGACTATTTTGCCTGATACATGACGTCATTCAACAACTGCTCTGGTAATGGTAGGGAGGGTTTCGCGCTCAGTGGACATACCTAGGAAGCATCTTGTTACCTTCTCTTCATCAGAAGCATGTCGCTTACATGTACTGCCACCACCTTCACTGAATTCGCGATGGACGATGCAGAACACTCTGGTATTGGAAGAGCAACAGTCGTTCATCTATGGCAAGTTTTTCACTTGGGTCTCTTGCCGCCTGGCTAACCAGATTCCTCTAGTATATACTTGTGCTTCCCTCCACCGCAATATCACCCTCGCGCTCTACATCACCGACTCGTCACGCTCTTCCAAGCCCCTTTCAACTGTCGGCAACACTACCTAGGTAGTCAGCCAAGTCCCGCTACCATCAATACAACCGAGTACTCAAGCATGGGCTGTGGATCCGAACACTACACGCGCTGGAATCGCGTCAGCTTCAAGCATCTCCTCCTACAACATAGGCTAAATAGCATTGTCTCAAGATGGCCCAGCCGGCTACAGCAACATAGGAACCGCGTACATCGCATTAAGGTTTCGGTCGCAAAGCGGAAGGCCCAACGCGCACATGACCTCAAGGTACTGATAATGCGGCGCAGAGTCCGTGCGTGGAAAGTCGCTGTCAGTCAACTCTGGAAGCAGTCTCGCGTTCTAAGACGCCAACACACTGCGGACCGAGACTCTGTCACACCGGAAGACTGGGATCAGCTATTTGAGAAATCTCCTGGCAAGTTGCGCGCCATTTATCAAAAGCCTCATCACAAAGAGAAGTGGCCGAAGGAAGTTCCCTACTTGAACATGATAGCGCTGGCAAACTACAAGGCGAAGCGGTACCGGCAAGCGCATCGGCCACAAGCCGTTCCGAACTTAAACCTTACGGCGGTAAGGGACCTGCAAGAGAAGCTTTGGCCACGAGTGGGGTGGCCGAAAGAAGACCCGTATTCCAACAACGAGGCACGCGTGGAGTACTGCGAGAAACATTGGCCGCGAGTCGACTTGCCCAGGAGCGTGCAATATCTTGATCTCGCAGCGCATCTTCCCTACGGGGAGGGTCTTCCACCCGCGAAATGGGTTGAGGGCGTGCCACATGTAGACTCCGTCGCGCTCGCTGCCCACATCGGGAAACCAAAAGCAGAAGCCGAGAAGGTAAGGCGAACATTAGGCTCTGTTGCACCGCCATCGCGAGAAAAAAGCTGTCACGCTTCACAATCAACAACGTCTCGAAAAGAACGAATGCATACATTGCCCAGGCCCCAATTCGATGATCGCTTCCATGTTGAACTCTTCAAGAAGCGCCAGCAAGATGCAAAGTACCAAGCCGAAGTCGCCATGAACGACGTTGCCATCAAAACGCTGAAGCAGTTCATCACACAGCTTGATCAAGTCAAAGTTCTTGTTGAGCAGAGCCGGAAGAATCCTCGTAGCGTTACGGTTAAACAGTGGCAAGATGCCGCAGAAGGTACAGATATCCTTGACACTAATCTTGAAGCTGCGCAGCGAATGGAGTTCTCGAGGAGACTTGAGGTAGGTGAGATTCCTGTGGTTACAGGAGGGCAGGGGCTTGTAAAGGGGTTCGAGAAGATGCGGAGAGAGTGGTCTGAGAGATAACATGTGAATGGTTACTGTCGGTCTCTCAGAGGCATCCACGTGTGAGCTGTCAGACCAATGGTTGCTCGATTATAGCACAGGGTCTCGGGTACTACGTCATCGTCTTGTATCAAGTTGACAGCGACCAGGTCGCCGGTGAAACTTAATACGATTTGCCGGCTTGGGCCAGCGTAGCTTAATTTATCTGGAGAGAAAACATGCGGAAATATCTGGTCAGGCTGACTTCTTCAACACGTGAATTCGCGATAGCATCTCGAAAGAAACGCGCTAACATGGCTAGGAAACAGGCCAAGAGAAGATCATGGTCGTTTCAGGACAAACGGCGTGTTTTTTGTGATTGTGATAATCCGACGGATCGTGCTAAGAACGATAACAACTATGCTAACAAACATCCAAACGGGTTTTGAGCGCTTAGTCGGCTTGAAGCCGGTACGAAGGCTGGCATACCTCTGCAGTAGCATGATGCTTCAGTATAACGATCTTCGAAGATGGAATGCGGCTCAATTTTCGGAGCTGATCCTATCCGGGAATAGTTAGTCACGGGCATTCGGCATCCGCCGTAAGCTTATGCCAAGAGCAATGCGCAACATTCGGCTTGCTTGAGTAAGTTACCCGCGTAACTTGTCCTCTGGGGTACGACGTCCCAGCTCCCACGGATCGCGATCGGGAATCTAAGCGGCCACTGCGGCGCGGGAAACGGCTGCGAATTAATCTATATCCAGTGAACAGGCACCGTGGTACGCCTGAACGATGAGAGCTTGTTGATGAGTACCTGTGAAGAATATAGGCAAGGAACGCGTTCTGAAACTGGTTCCCTACAAGGACTCGCATCACGTACGATCCTTCCAAAGTTGAGCATGTCTGCCTGCCAACGGCAACCTCCTTAGCCAAGCTACCTAGGTAGCCAACTAATCAGCCTCATGCGTGCGTCTTCACGCTTAGAACCGGGCAAGCCTCATGAGTGCCGCCGAACAAGCGGAGACGAGTATTGAGGCTCTGATGATGTCGTGTTCAGGAATCGCACCGAATGGCTCGTTTTCTCGCCATATCTGCAAGGTACACGGACGATCCCTCTCCTTGGCCATACTCCATCGCATGTATCCTCACGCTTGGAGCCAAGGAGTACATGAAAACAATTCACCGGGCGGTCTCAGAAACATGAGGCTTTAGCAAGATAGCAACGAGAATGGCCCGAATAAGATATCTGTATATGCCCCTTGGGTGGTGATCAGCGCAAGACTTTGGATATATAAGAGGTTGAGAAGTACTCATCAATATCCTCATCACGATCATCAAGTCTTCAATCATCACTACAACAGCCTCTTACAATCCACCCGATTTCACTCGCTGAATCACCAACCAACCTTCTTTCAAAATGAAGTTCCAACTCGCTACCGCTCTCCTTGCTGGCACTGCCGCTGCCGTCCCTACCTGGCCTCAGCCTCACCCTCACAAGACCAACTGGACTGCCCCCGCTGTCCCTGAGCTCGACAAGCGCGTTGTCGACCCCGTCTCCATCGCCATCATCGGAGGTGTTGTCTCTGGTATTGTCGGTGTTTCTGGCACTGCTGCCCTCAACATCGCTAAGGATGCCATCGACTGGAACGCTGTAAGCCACAACCCCTATAAATCATATCCAGTTCTCAGACTAACTCTCTTCCTACTCAGGCCCGTGAGGCTTTCACCAAGGCCACTGTCGCCGAGATGATCAAGCGCGCCGGCCCCGGCGAGGCTGCCGTCTGCTACAACAAGGGCTACGACGTCACCAAGCCCAACCAGATGCGCGAGCTCTCTTCGGTCCGCTTCAAGTCTGGTGTCCTCAACACCGACTACGACTGCTTCCTCATGTCCGGCCCTGACAACTCCTTCTACAGCCGCGGTGACGGTGGCTACATCAACGTAAGTGACTGCCATGGCATCTTTGCTCACTTATCATTATGCTAACACCAACCAGCTTGCCATTCAGTCTCCCTCCAACTGCAAGTTTGACAGCGCTACCTCCGACCTTTACTGCGCATAGACGATCCTATCGGATCATGAAGTCATCTTTACGAATGACCCCGGGATGGATGGATATGGATCACAAGAGTGCTACGTAGTTACCTTCTTACCTTTCTCACACTGTACACATCAATTTGCGAACGTCGCCTGTACATAGTTCGAATTCACTTTTTTACTTTGAAAGCTTGTGTCTCAAATGAAGTGAAACTTACTGCTTTAAGAAGCAGTCCTAATGGAAGTTCATTGCTACTAGACATTGAGATGGAATCGACATAGGCGCGAAACTGCAGATTGCCGTTGTGGAAATATACAAACCCGCCAATTGAGGGTCCACTGTAGATATTTGGTTCTGTTAATCGCGAAAATCTACGGTGTGCGAAGTACTAGACGTAAGCTGAGGAGTCGTCGATGTCAGATGTAGACAAATAAGCATGTGTAAAGATGCCACTCCACTTAGAGATGCCTACGTGTTTCGCAGTCACTGATAAAGAGTATTCAAGTATGGTTGAAGTAGAACACTAGAGTGTTTTATTAGGTCTAGGATTCTAACTCACTGCGTCACAAAAGCTAACGGATGAAGAATTGTCTGCCTGATGTGCAGTACCAAGATCTTTCTAGGTACGAGAATGTACCTTATGCAAGTTTGAGATAGATCGCGAGGACGAAGGGTGAAGTAAAAACTGTGCGCAGTTACTATAGCGTGATGGGCAGAAGGGTACAGTTTCGAACCACGGCGAAGAAGGTAACACTCGAGATCGTTCTAGCTGTATGGACAATAGAATTATAACCTGATGACATCGATGAAGCTAAGTCAAAAGCGAGACAGTAATAATGCGATAAAGTCAATGCATCGACGCACACTTAGGAGAATAAATGTAATAGATGGTGTTCAGGGTTAGTCGATGCAGATGTATCGTGCTTTGTATCATCTTTCATACTGTCACGACCCTCTTGCTGCATCTTTCGATGATCATCCTCGAGACATTACTACATAGTGACCAGTGCATTAGCAATTCGTCCGATCAAGGTCTACAAGCAATCATCGTGTACTCCACTACTAATCTAATCAGGTAGGGGGGACAAGGTTTAGCCTCTTTACGATGTATGTTATTGCATAGCTACTACAGTGTCGTGTAATCTGCTTAGGTATCAGCTCTATCCATCCACCCGGAATCACTACTTAGTAAGAGAATAGACACTTCTACGTTGATAAGAAGGGATAGCTACCCTCATCACAAGAATCCAAGATCACCTTGGAATAGAAATACATAGCGATAACATCACTGCCGCGTCTACACGAATAACGGTACCCCACATTGTAGCCTGAACGCACGAATGATAGTGACACACACTTGATCTGTGTTGATTATTCGCAACCCTCGAAGCACATCAATCAGCAACCAACCTCAGCCTTGCTGTGTACTGCTCTATTCCCGTCGCCGTCAACACTGCGACACGCTCAAAGCAGGAGATCGCCATCGCTTATGCATGTCCACACCCATCATAGCGCAGCCTCAATCACCACCCGAAGCGAAACCACCTCGGCGAAGTGTCTGGCTCGGCATGGCGATGCTCGAATCGAGTGATTACTATGGCCGTCAGCCCGCTTGGGTGCCGAGGTGAGGGTTTCCCGGTTATCTCCAGACGGATAAGGTGATCAACCCAGCAAGTTGCCACGAAGGAGCGGCCCAGTCCGCGCGGTACCGTTCAGGACGTCGTTGCACGGAACCGCGGTATTGCCAAGAGTGGTTTAGGTAGTGCATGTCATCCAAGCCGTTTGTCGCCTGCAAGTACCGGACGAGTGGTTGTAGTGCTGAGTCGTGAGGTAGAGAGAAAAGGTGTGGACCGTTCGAGCTGAAAAACCCAGCTCGGCATTTCATTACCACCAACCATAATGTCGCAGTCTGCACCCCAAACAATCCAGTTGCAGCACCTCCTACGCTTCTCGTCAACAGTTCAAACGTCTCATACGTGCGGTGCCGCCGACAAGCAGCATGCCAGCTCTCCACAAAACACCATTACCAACCGTTCGCTGCGTGCAACACCAAATTGGCGAGGCGCCCTTACCCAAAGCAGCAATCGAGGATGCAATGGATTCGTTAAAGGATTCCGGAAGTAAGACGATCCGGATACAAAACAGGATAAAAATGTTTAGTTTTACCGTTTTGGCCCTGTTGGAAGGATTCGTGTGGCGCAGGGCGCGGGAGATCATGAGGTAGTTGGGACGCGACTTGGTTCGCTGGACGGGCGGATGCAAACCGACCATGTCTTCTTGCCCAACTGACTCGGAAGAAGCGGACATGCAGCAGGAGGCTGAAGGATTTTCTGCTTCGCGACAAGAATTGGGGGCGTGGAAAATGTGGATTGTGACGCGCTGTCGCTTGCAGGCGCCCATTGTTAACTTTGCCTTGTCTCAATATGACGACGTAGAGGCCCAAAGCACGAGGCTAAGGCTGGAAAACAGGCCATTTTCGCTTAAGACGGTTGTTCTAGAAGCAGACGCACGACACACGAAAAGGTTTAGGGTCCTGCATCATCGAGAGGGAGAAAGAAAAAACGCATCAAAATACGGCAGCAACGCAACAGCCCAAAGCACCTAATCTGCATGTAAAGGCAAGGGCAAACTGTCCGAACCAACCTACCAGTCACAGTTACGCGCCCGTTGAACTAGCTTACCAAGTTGTTGGGACCACCCGCTGAGATGACCATGATACCCAATGGCATGATTCTCGTCTGCTCTCCCAATGATATCGTACCTCGGTCTTACACTTTGCCCACCCCCTTGCTGACTTGCCCTTGCTCTGTTCATTCGCCTCACTCACCCTCAAACTTACCCCAGACATCTACAGCTATCATATCGAGAAATCTGACCGATGCGATATTAGCAGGGGGATGGGACGCAGGGTCCTCGTTCTGCTTTCGTGCGTAAACACGGCCTTCGGCCGATACGTTGACTAAGAGAAACAAGTGTCGGGATGTCATAGAATTGATTGTATACCCAGGAGGAGGTCCGTGGATGCTTACCGGCTGCAGGACATGAGATGCAGCTGCAGAATCGTGATGTGGGCAGCCATGTGCACGGGCTGGTCGTAGCCTACTCAACGATGACGATGTGGGGTTGGTTGCGGTGAGTTTACCTATTGACTTGACCAGCGGAAGGCCCTGTCATATTTGTGATTAGTATCGTATGAGCAACACATCCTCGGTGCAATGAATGAGATACTGCTTTCGGACTGTTCGACAAGCCGGAAAGAACGTCGGACAGTTTCCCCTGGTACGAAGCCACACGGTACAGAATTATCAGTACTGTACAAGGCCCCGGCGAGCACTTACACAAAGGGCCATGTTCAGAGTGACATACCGTGTACATTACTTCATCAGCCGCAATTGTCTCCACATCTGCGACGCAAAGAATTTCGCGCCTTCTACTGCAAACGGGCGATGCACAGCAAAGTCGTAGATGACGGGTGGCATCGGGCCTAATACAGGGCTCCACTATCCACTATCGCGAACACCGCGACACCCGCAGGCAACTGTACAAAGTCAAGGGAAACCGCGCCGCAATGTGATATCGCGCTTCTGCGTCAAGATTGCCGGCGGATTTACACGCACATCTACCTGCCGTCTCCGACTCCCGAGACGTGAGATATGATACCTGGGTGGAAGGAATGCACGTTAGCCCAGCGCAACGCTATAAATAAATCAAGTTTAGCGTGGCACAACGGCTTTTGCTGCCTCGTGGCTTAAGGCGGGCAATTTTGGCCTCTGCTCGCTTGCATGCCTAGATGCGTGAGGTTTGAGTGCCCTGGTTGCGTCCGAACCCCGCCGTTGTTTGGTTGGGTGCATGGGGGAGGCCAGGGCCCTTGTCCTTGTGTCAGACAAGACAAGCTGCAAGCCACGGGTGGATGACGCTGGAGATTGGTTCCGGACGGCTGCGGCCCGCGCGACTGACAGATTGGGGAGTATGGTGCGAAATGCGACCGGGAGGTACAGATTCATTCACCTGTAGGAGTATGACACCCTGGCGGGAAGAGAGACAGAGAAACAATGGGGTTGTGAGAAACAGTGCTGGGAGGGGTTTCGCGTGCTTGAGGGTCCTTGAATCGTCTGAAGGAGGTGACGAGACCTGCGCAGCGGCCAGCCGATAACGCAGTCAGACGTTCGCGTGCGCGCCGTGCGACCCTTTAGAAACTCCCTAGAAGCATGCTACAGTAGGCGGCGCTTCCGGGCGTTGGACCCAGGTGCGAGGCCCCGGGTTCGTGTTCAGCTTCTGACGGGCTTCCGAAGGGTGGCACCAGAGAGCACGAGGGGTATGTGCTTGCTGGCTGAGCTATAGCCCTCGCCAACCGGGATTGCCGTGCTGCTCATGTAAGATGGCTGCTGAAGTGTGCACATGCAGCTCGTGGATGCTGAGGGCAGGGTAGCTGAACGTTTAGCGAGTGAACCTGCGTGGCTTCGTATAGAGGAATGTTGTCCATCTTTCGGTGGGGTATTTTGCCCCAACCCTGTTTGTGTGTGTGGTGTTCATCTCGCTGAGCTGTTCCATGATGCCTAGTCGCGTGTTCGCATCCGTCGACCTAATTGTAGTGATGGAATAGGTGCAGCCCATGCACCGCTTAACTGCGCAATTTAATCAGCAAGTTGCACCTCGTCATTGCGTTACCCCACGTCCAACCCTAAACTGCCGTGTATCATCAACTCACTATATCCGTCTCAATTCTTCCGCCACTCATGACCGCAAGGGTTAATTGTATGACAATATGTAGACAAGCTTCGTACTTTTACCGTGGCCCTGGGTCTTGGTGTTCGGCGCTGTCAAGGTACCTTAACGGGATTTCGGAACGGACATCGCGTGTCGTGGAAGGCACAACGTAAGGTGGTACTTATGCAGCAAGTGCGATGCGTGAGATAGCAGTTTCCACAGCATCGTTGAGAATGGAAGC